AACGAAACAAAACTAATGTCTCGAAACGTTTTTTGAATCAAAAGATTACCTCTCTTATAGAGAAATGAACTTTAGAACTTATGTGCTTGGTACTGCTTTGATAGGAGCAAATAAAAGTAAAATTTCGCAAAGCAAACAGAAGGATATATGTTAAATAAATACGAGGGATCTTACCAACATAAGCGATACGATCAGTGACCATGTACTTATTGTGATTCACTCGTGCAAACGGAATTTTCCTCTGCTCATCGTTCGATGGCACTGTGAACAATCTCTGAAAATTGTAAAAAAGCGTCAAATTTTGCAATACTTCAGAATGTCAGTGATATTTCGGATCCTCTCAGAATTCGTAAAGATCTCAAAATCAATGTAGTATACATTCCAAACTTCAGTCAAAACCAAACATTTTGCGTTATTTTCGAATTAGCCAATCGCAATAAAGCGATATAGTTAAGAATTAACAATCATTCGGTAGATCAAAAGTTATAGATCAAAAAATCGGTTGATAGGACGAACCACTTCAATACTGCCAGTCGAATTATGTCTTCGTGGTAACGCCTCATTGATAGCTAACAGTGATTTAAGGAATGGCTTCATTTCAGGTTTCGAATGATTCCAGTGACTGAGCAACATTTTCACCGAAACGCCTCGATATGCTGCACCTCGAATCGCATCGTCTATCTTCGACCAATACCTCAAATCGAAGGTTTTTTACTATCACAACCTCGATTTCATTATTCTTACACTGATAAAATCGTTTATCGAGCCAGATTAATGCGCAATTTGTCTGAATATGTTACAACATACAGGACAGCAAATATTCACGAACTGATTTAGAAGTGATGACTTATATTGGCTATATAAAAAACGATACAAAAATTTTACAGTAATCGATGATTGAATGAATAAATAGATGAAGAAACTAACCAATTTTTATCAAATCCCATATATAAAGTTGACGGTAGATAATCCATCACAGCGATGTGTATAAATTGTTCCGCATCTTCCATTATTCTCACAATTGCGTCTCCATCTTCCTCACGACCTTTTGCATTGAACTGCCTTGGACTGCTCTAAACGATCAACATTTTCTTCTCAATATCATGAGTGAATGTACAAGCTTACCAGCTTATATGCATATACTCTTCACGATATTAAGAATGATACATGCTTCTCAAATTGTTTTTTTCTAATGAGTCCTTCATAACAATACGAGCTCTCGAAATGAACACTTGAAATCTGCTCGAAGCTGCACAGACACAAGACCGAGAGATATAGATGTGCATGACAATTTAGTCAAGTGACAGAAAAGAAACTCGGTCAGTTTGTAGTGAATAAGTGAACGGATTCATATGCGAAACTGAACTGATGAAATATACAAACCGAAACAAATGCATATGCACGGCGATCGTTGATGGTCATTCGAAGGGGATGAGTGAAATTGAACGTTGTTTTTAAACTCAACGGCCACTTCGATGGGATTCGTGCACCCGCAGCGCCTAACCTCCAATACGCGGTGAATATTTTCGACAGTTCACGTGCCAAACAACTACAATTCCATAGCAGATAACCCAGTTCTTTCACCTGAATCAAGTTCAGGTTCCCGTTTTGACTTGTTAAATTGTAATTAGAAACATGAACGCTTCATGGAATTACAGCAGCACTGAAGTGAGCACTGAAAATCACATAAGAAAACGAACTTCCGTAAGTGATTTCCAGTCCATATTCGCCGAACCAACGTAGACGTGCCGAGAATCAACAATCCAAAATTTGGTATGCAAAACACCCGAACCAAGTAATCTTGTGAAATCCAGACTTCTCACATTGGCATACCCTTCAAAAAAAAAACCAATCAGCAACGTTGATACTGTCATCGATCGCGCCGATGGATTTCATGATGATCAATTGCTTCTGCTTGTTCAATAAAGACAGCTAAGAAATATACCATCATATACGTGAAGCATTTCGAAAGAATTTGCCAAGGATCTGTTTTGTAGGAGGTTCATTGGATTGTTAAATTTTAATTTGAGCTTTTGAACGCTGAATACTTCACATTTTATGGCTATTATTCGATTGTGGTGTGAAGCAATAGTGTGCTGGCTTACCGTGTGTTGAGAGATATGTGGAATCATGTTGCGGAAACTGCTCAGACGGAAGATTCTGAGCTATTCGAATCTGAAAATTGGAATGTCAAAATGTTTCAGAGGTCATCCAATACACCGATTATTTGAATTCCATTCCTGGTCACGGAAATTATTAGTCAAGATTCTCAAAG